CTGAGCCCCGGTGGGTGGAGAAGCTGGGGCTGCCCTCAGATTCTGGAGCCGTCCGGCCCGGAGCCTCTGTTTTGAGGCTTCAGGGACCCACCCGGGAACATGAATGAGTGAGGTGGGCTGTGCGGGGCCTGCTGTGGTTTGTTCCGTAAGAATGTTGACTTAGATCCTCTTTGCGTGGGGGGCGGGGTGGGGGGCTCTTCACTTCCTCAAAGGAACGTGCTCCTTCCCACATTTCTCGAAGTACATGGAACTCTGATCAGCCTCCTATCTTCTCACTTTTGATACAGACATCCGCTTTCCTCCTAACTCCATGACAAGGAAACAGCAGCACAGGCCCAGATAGGCAGCACTTGGATTCTGTGGCAGGGAGACGTTAGGGAGTGGTGGAGACTGTGGCAAACAAGAGGCCACCAGCCCCTGTAGAGGAGGCAGTAGGTTGTTGTCATGCAGGAATATGGCTCTAGTGTTACCAGAGGTTCTCATTTGTTTTTAGAGCTACTGGGAATATGAATTTTTATGTGAACTCTAAGTTTGAATTCTTGGCAACTCTTAAAAAAAAACTTAAGAAGAAGAAAGGAGAGGGGAAAAGAGAGGGAGGAGAAAGACCAACAAAGTACGTATGTCTAGAAGTTTCTATCCAGCCCATTGGCCACCAGTGCTCATTTCACTACTACCCTTATCGGTCCCTCTGCAGCCTCTTAGAAGTCTGCTCATGCTTTCGACTTGCATTCCAACAATCTGAGCCGTCTGTCAAGCCCACAGCCCTGGCGAATTTCCACTGCTCTCCTTACTCAGCAGAGTTTGGCCTGGATGCGTGCTGTGTCCCCACACACAGGTATACTTGTGATTCTGAGGACACCCTGGGCCAGGGCCATGTTTCTGCTCAGTTCTGCACCAGGAAATCCAGGAGCCAAGAAATGACAGCCCACTTTCTGCCCAGAGCAGCTCGGGCAGGCCCTCCAGGAAGGATAACTCAGGGTGGGCTTTAGTGGCGACCCCAAGGCCGGGCCAGCTTCTGAGCAGAAGGGCCCTGTGCCCAAGTTAATGCTCTGCTGTCATCGCCTTAAAATTCTTAATTATTTTTTAACTGGGGGACTCCTTGCACGTCCAATTTGCATTGGCATCCGCCAATTATGTAGTTGGTCCAACTCCCAGAAGATTTTCCCAGCCTCTGAGGGATGCTGGGAATCGATGCTGGAGACAGCTGGGCCTGGGATCTGCCTCACTGTCCCCTTCTCCGGGGCATACAGTGTGCCGACTCTGCAAGGCAGCAGGAAGGGAGGACTTGGGCGTGGGGAAAGGCTGCAGGAACTGTCCCCGTCCAGTCCTCGGGACGTCATTGCAGGAAGCAGAAGCTTAGTGGGAATTCAGGGGCCGGGAGGTGGGGGGAGGATGGGCAGTCCAGCAGAGGGTAGGGAGGCTGCTCTGCATCTGAGCTCTGAGGCCAGACCCTGTCCCCATGACCCTGACCTCAGGCCACCAGGGTGCCACCAAAGAAAACGCATGGGGTCAGTGCAGTTCCCGTTCCCAGGGGAACTTCCTTTAGGTGACAGGAGACAATGACAACAAATGTATGGCTTCAGGAACAAACCCCAGAACCGCTGCATTAGAGGAACCCACTATATTGAGTACCTGCTTGCAGCCGACCAGGTGAGCCCACTGGAATTTTTCACGTTTTTTCTTCTTCTTGGCTGTGGGTTCAGTATGTGTAGAAGCAGTTTTGCTGAGACTTTCCAGCCAGCATCACTCTACTCTCTGCAAGCACCTGAATCAAAGACAAGGTAGCAACTCGGGTGCCCACGACGCGCAGTTTTGCGGGTTAACATCCTTGTGAACTTCTGGCAACAGTTTCCAGGAGCCTGGAGACCCTCCACAGCAACACTAGGCCCCCCAAGCTTGTGTGTGACCTTCGCAAAGACCCTTTCTGTCCACGCATCTGAGTGCCATCAGCGGCAAAAGCATGGGGAGGGCCAGGGCAGCGGGTGTGAGCTGGGAGAGCCGGGCTTTTTCATCCTCCCATGGTGGTTGTGTGGGCATGTTTTGTGTGTTGCTAGTAGTGACGGCAAGTGTATTAGTTTCCTATCGCTGCGTATCTAATCACCTCAAACCTCAGTGGCTCCAGACACCAGCGTTTATTCTCTCTCGTTTCTGTGGACCAGGAATCCAGGGTGGCTGAGCTGGGCGCCTCTGGCTCAGGGCCTCTCATGGGCTGTCGCCATGGTGTCAGCCAGGGCTGCAGTCACCTCGGGGCTGGAACTGGGGAGGGTCTACTCCTAAGCTCATTCCTGGGGCTTTTGGCAAGATTCAGTTCCTCGTGGGGTGGCGCACTGGGAACCTCAGCTCCTCCCTGGCTGTTGGCCAGAGGCTGCCATTGGTTCCGTGGAGCTATAGATCTACACACAACTGGCAGCCTGTGTCTTCCAGGGGGCTCATGTGGGGTGTGTGCAGAGAGGGCGAAGCCGCTGTCTCTTTGTAACCTGACTCAGAAAAGACATACATCATGGTTCCCCTTTCTGCTCCTCAGAAGTGAGTCACTCGGTCCCTCGGTCCCTCCCACACTCTTTGGAGAGATTACAGGAAGGTGTGAATCCAGGAGGCAGTCATCGCTGAGGGCCTTGGAGGCTGCTGCCCTAGGCAGCTGGGGACTCATTCTCTGGGGGCTCAAACCCTGGATCTTGGACAGTGAATTTGCTCCTGGAAGCCTCGGGCCTTTTACCTGTAAAATGGAGGTGATCGTGGCTACCACCTTGTAGGGTTGTGGTGGGAGGTTTTGATGACAAGAGGCACATGTAGATGTCTGAATGGTGCCTAGCACAGGGTAAACCCTCAAAAAATAGGCGTGAGGGATATTGTTGGAGAAGGTCTGAGTGACACGCCCATCGCTTCTAAGCCAGACACCCACCTCCTGCTATCACCATGGACATCTGCTGCCTTTGATCCATTCCTGGGGACTCCAAAGTGACTTGGAAGTCCTCTGGCCAGCCCTGGGATGCTTTTGTGGCCGAGGCCACCTGCTGATCTCCCCTGGCCATCTCAGTAGGACTCTGGGGCACAGGTGCAGCAAGAAGGATTAGACTGGGGTTTTCTCCAAAGCCACTTAGACCTTTGCCCTAGGGGGACGGAGGGTTTTATGCAGGGTCCATCCTGCCATCTGTCCTGGGGAGGCCTTCCTGGCTGGAGACTTTTGTGTGCCTGTCACCGGCTCACAGGTCTGCTTTGACGATCTCTCTGGGACCCCAAGTGACCTGGCAAAGATCCTGATCCCCTTTGGGGGCTTCCAAAGGCCCTGCCCTGGAGGCAGAGGCTTAGTCCCGAGCTGAGCATCAAAGCATTTTCACGGAGCGTGGTTGGTCTCTCGCCCGCCTGCCAGGCCGTCTGTGTGCCAAGTCAGCTGCTCAAGTTCAGCAAAGGAAAACGTCCTTCCTTATCCACGGGCCACACCTCTCCTGTTTCTTCTAAGCCCTTTTTTGGGCAGTTTGGGTCAAGCAGTGAGGTTTCTGCAGGAAGTTAAGGTATTGCAGCTTATTCAGAATAAAAACAGTAACATCAAAAATACTACAACTTATAATACCGATACTGGCAAACATTGACGTAGCATTCGCTACACTGATCTGCACGTTCATTTAATCTTCCCAACAACTCTGAGAGGCTCACGTACTATTATCCTCACCCCATTTTACAGGTGAGAAAACAGACACAGAGAAGTCAAGTCACTTCCCCAAAGGCACCCAGCCAGTGCGTGGTGCAGGCAGGACTGAGGCTTATATCATCAGGTTGCAGAGTCCATGCTAATTACCACGATGCTTCCTTGGCTAAGGTGTCATTAACTGAGCACTCACTTTGCTCCAGAGACCGTGTTTTCTAGCTCATTCAACTCTCAAAATCACCCTATCCCCATGTCTCAGATGAGAAAACGGAGGTTTAAGGAGCCGAAGGGACTTAACCAAGATGATGTGGCTTAAAGGTAGGGTTGCGAGTCTAACCCTCAGAAGGGAGGGGTGTTCTCTGGGAAATGCCTCTCATGTCAGGGCTATGGGGAATGCCTGCCGGTGGCCGGTGGCCCGGTGGAATAGCCAGCCCCTTTTTCATTATTTCCTAAAGAGGGGACTCCAGGAACCTTCAGCAGGCAGCCTTGAGGATGGGTTCTCTGCTGCTCCTGGTGGCCACTGGTAGTACTTCACCTTTCCCATCCGGGGCCCTTTAACCCTGAGTTGGTGGCTTCCTGGAATGAAGAATGTCCCCCACAGCCATTTTAAGACCTTTTGTCTCCTTTGTGTGACTCAACAGACACAAAGGGCCATAGGTCATAGGGCCAGGCAGGCAGACAGACAGGCTTCAGGCCCTGTTTAGTAATGATTTAGTGTCCAAGGTAAGAATAATGGTGCCCTAACCGGTTTGGCTCAGTGGATAGAGCCTCCGCCTGCAGACTGAAGGGTCCCAGGTTCAATTTCGGTCAAGGGCATGTATCTTGGTTGCGGGCACATCCCCAGGAGGGGCTTTGCAGGAGGCAGCTGATCAATGTTTCTCTCTCATTGATGTTTCTAACTCTCTATCCCTCTCCCTTCCTCTGTGTAAAAAAATCAATAAAATATATCTTTTTTAAAAAAAGAATAATGGTTACTAGTTAGTTCTGTCTTTGTGACAGGCACTCTGCTTGGTATTTGATACTTAAATGTTATTTAATTTACCGAAGCACATAGAAGGAATCACCATCACTAAGGGTTAGTAATAATATTGGGTAGAGCATCTACACATTCTGCTCATTATAATCCCCATAATACTATAGGAGTACCATCATTACCCTCCCTCTATCAATGAGGAAACCAAGGAACAGAGAGGTTTAGTAGGTTGGCTGAGGTCACACAGCAGTAGACGGTGGAGCCAGGACTCAGACGCAGGCAGTTCTGGCTCCAGAGCCTGTATTTTTTTGTTGTTGTTTTGTTTTTTAGTTATTATGCCATTAATGTTTATTATTATAACATTATTATTCTGCTTTTGCCGTTGAAGAATCCCAGGCATGGAGTGGTGAAAGGATTTGTCTAAGACCACACAGCTGGTAAGTTTAGACGCAGTACGTCAACCAAGTCCGTCTTCATTGATTCATTCATTGATTCAACAAATACTGATTGCACAACCTCCATGTGCCAGGCACCGTCCTGGGCTCTGAAGGCAAACCACCATGCATTCTAGCCTGCCAAGGGCACCTGTGGTGTGCCAGCATGTGACCCCGAAAGGGCCTGGGGCAGCCCCCGGGAAATACTGGCAATCTCTGCAAAGGAGAGACTATTTCCAGCGCTCCTCTGTGCCTCCCTGCTGGGCCCTGCCCCACCCCACCCTCGCCCCAGGAACCAAAAGGGCCTGGGCCCCTAGCTCACCTCTCTCCCAACTCCATCCCCACTGCCACTACCTGCAGGATGGCGCTCACACAGACATGGAATGCGAAACTGATTAGACTGGGAGAGGCCGCCGTGAGGCTCCCAGGCATGGAGTTCTGTACTGTTCTTTGTTACTGCCTTTTACTTATTAGTCAAGTTGGGCAAGTCAGGCACCTTCCTGGGGCCTCAGTTTCCCCACCTGTGAAATGAGTATAAGAATACTTGCCCATCTCCCCAAGACTGTTCTGTGAGGCACGAAGGAGACCATAGATGGGAACCACGTGATGGCGGGGGGCAAGACAGCCAGCCAGCCAGGCTTTGGGGCTGTTTAGTAATGGAGCCATTTGCTCACTTGTTTATTTCATTTGGTCGGTCTGCACTCAGCATCCCCCGCGAGTCCTGTCCTCGATACTGCGGGGAAGGACCCCGGCGTGTAGGAAGCTCAATGCACGGGGAGGCTAAGATGAGAAGGAGCTACTGGCAGACGTGTGACGGGGGTTATACTCTCCGGGCCACAGGTGCTTGTCGTTGGGACTGTGGTGAGCCTCTGCCACCCACCCCCGCAAGGCAAGAAAATGATCCCAAAGACCAGGCTCGTGCACTGCTTCGAGATTCTTGCATGCAGGGTGAGTGCTGATGCCCGGAGATACTGGCCTGGCTTGTCCCTTTAAGGCCTAAAGTGCTCATCTCTCCTCGAGCCCCTCAGCTCCCACGGCGACTACAAGCAGGTTGGAACCATGGGGTAAGAGCCCTGTGCAAAGGCCTGGGCCTTTCCTGAGAAGGCCTCTGAGCTACCTGCAAATAGTAATTAGGCATGTCAACACGAGGGGCGGGGCGGAGGGGGGGTGTTGTTCAAAGACAAAGCTGGCTTCTCCTGCTGAGAAAACCAGGAGTTCAGAGAGGCTCGGACACTGGCCCGGGGGCACACAGCATTTCTGGGGCCCAGGCAGACTGACTTCATAAGCCCTGGAGCAGAGGCGCTCAGAGTGGCCTGGGGACTAACTGTGTCCAGCAGCATCCTGTGCTTTTAGGAGAAATGCCATTCTCTGCCCCACCCCCACCTCCTGAGTCAGAAACTCGGGGGGTTGGGCGGGGGCGGGGGTCTGACAGTCTGTTTTAACATCCCTGCAGGTACCCCTGATGCTGACCAAGTTGAGGGGCCACTGCCATTGCCTAAAGGAAGGGCTGCTAGGTCTTCACGCCCTTCTGAGTGGGAGGAACGAGGCAGTGGAGCGTAGCAAGGTCACTTTCTCAGTGGCCGTGTTGTCACAGTTACATAACTCCCCCCCCAACCCCCCTTGGCTTCCTGCACCCAGAGTCCAAACTCCAGGCCCTCCTCCGTCAGGAGGCCACCTGCCTGGGCTCCGGGAGGCCTGTCCACACAGGCCCGCGGCTGCTTGCCCATAATTAGGAGTTACCTGCCCGTCCGCCCGCCCACCAGGACTGGGCATGTCAGCCAGAGGGACTCTGGCTTCTCCAGCTCCAAAGGCGGAGCACAGGGGCCTCCGTCCTCACCACACCGGCAACGAGGCGCCTCCATCCTCACCACACCAGCAACGAGGGGTTCTGTGGCTACAAGGCCCCCAGCAAGGCCGGGCGGCCTGCCTGCCTCCAGCTGCCCCGCGTGGGCCAGGCCCGGGAGGAAGGCAGAGCGGTCTGCGCTGTGGCCATCAGGAGGCAACCCGAGGCCCTAGCTCCATCCTCGGGGCAGATGTCTGCAGCGGCCCCGAGTCCCAACGGTACTAATTAGAATCTGCTGTAACGCCTTCCTTTCCCAGAGTCGTCCTTTAAATATCTTTGGAACTGGTTTCAGGAGGCAGACTTGTGAAACAGACACGTAGGAAGGGCTGGCACCTTCCCCTGAAGCTGCTCATTAAAACAAACAAGCAAAAATGTGTTTTGCCAAATATGAAAGGAGCTCCAGCCTTGTGTTAAAACCTGACCTTTGAAAATGGGTTGTTTCTCCCAAATCAGGGCCCCGTGGAGGGGCACTCGGGGGCTCCTGGGGTGAAGGACGGCCGCTTGAGCTGCTGGATGGGCCTAATCCTGCCCCCCTGTAAATTCAAGGCAGGGACGGGTCTTAAACTGACATATGCCCGCAGGGCCAGGCATGCAGCAAGCGCACCCTCGAATGTGTGGATGGATGGAAAGGCCCTGAGTTCTGGCTCAGGGCTTCCCAGCTGCCCTGTGCTAACCTTAACAAGCCCCTTCCCATTTCTCCTAAGTATCTCCCATCTTAATAAATAGCAATAGCTACCATGTACTGTGGGCCCCGAGGTACGATAGGCCCTCTAGTGGCATCCTCTCATTTAATCACTCAACTGCCCTATGAGAGAGGGGGTACTGCTATACCCATTTTAAAGCAGAGTAAACTGAGGGTAGGAGAAGGGAGCAGAGGTTGCAAACTGGTGGCCCTACAGCCAAATATGGTTTGCAAACATGTTTTCTTTTCCTCGCACTCTATTTAAAAATATTTAAAAAACGAGCTGCCAACACTTTAAAGTGAGGATAATTTACACCAAAAAAATCCAGATAGCTTTATTTCAGAAAAATCAGGAGGTCTGGTAATTGCGAACCCTCATTCCATCGCACATGGTAACAGTGTGCCCCCCACCCTGTCATGCCCACTGTCCCCCTGTCTCCCCCTGCCTCCCTCGCTCAGGTAAGTGACCCGCCTGGGCCCTCCAGGCACGGAGTTCACCCCACTGTCCTCAGGCCACAGGTAGCTCCAGGCAGAGTCAGTGCAGTCCAGGGTCCATCTGTCTATCTGTTTCTCTTGCACATCTCACTAGTGCCCCACTCCTGGGAGATGCCAATGTATTAGATCAGAGGAGCACTGGACAGGGAGTCAGGAGATGGGGGTGTTTGTTCTACCCCTGGAACAGCCTCCAGCACCAACAACCTCATTGTTCAGAGGAGAGAGTCCGTCAGGGACGGCCCAGACTCCGCACTCTGAGATGCAGGGCCTGAGCTGGGAGGCGGAGCCAGCGTGTCCCTGCCCAGGTCAGTGTGAGGACAAGGATGCCCGCCAGGCACTGGGCAAGCCAGTTGGCGCTTGGCACTGCCAAGGGGGAATGCTCATCCAAGTTCCAGGAGCAGAAACCATGCTTTCCGCGCCCTTTCTCTTTCTTCATCCTGCACACGTCTGACGAAGGAAGAGACTGAGGCCCAGAGAGGGGGAGCGATTGCCCGAGGTCACACAGGAAACTGATGCCCGTGTTGGCACAAGCTGGGGCTTCTTCAGTCCTTCCTGGGCACTTCCCAGATTCTCTCTCCCTTAGGAATTCAGAGCCCTCCGGCTTCTTGGAATTGGGCCCCAGACGGGGGACCGAGTGGCCCACATGGGCAGGCGCTGTCGGGCTCAGAGGCCTCGCCCAGGGCTCGTCATGGTTTCTAAGGCGCAAACCATTGCAAAGAGAATCCTCATTCTGCGGGCTCCGGGACGGTGAGCCGCCCGCCTCTAGGGTGGAAGTGGGTGTACAGGAAAGGTTGCAATGCTGGCAGACGGCAGCCCACGTTTGGCTCACAGGCATATTTTGTTTTTCCCACAGTGTTTTTAAAAATTCACACGAGTTGCCAACATTTAAGAATCAGGGGATTTCACACAAAAGACGGGATTTCTGGCTCCTTGTGAACACTTTCAAGATCTGGCAAAAGCTGGACCACATTTTCCCCCAGCAATGCCGGCAGGAGCGAGGCCCGCCCCCTCTCATCCACCAGCCTCGGCACCCTGCCTGGCCTGTGTGAGCTCCCTGCACATGGACCCCACTCGCCCATACCCACCCCCCCACCTGATGAAGTCACCCCTCCCATCCTGGTCACTGGGGGGAAATTCTGGTTACCAGTGGTTCTCAACTTGGGGGCAGTTTTGTTCCAGGGGACACTTGGTCATGCCTGGAAACATTCTTGGTGGCCAACGTCAGGGAGGGGGTACCACTGGCATCTAGTGGGTCCAGGCCAGGGATGCTGCTAAACACCCTACAGTGTACCAAACAGCCGGCTCAACGAGAAATTATCCTCCCCGCCTGTGAACAAGGCCGAGGTCCGGAATGAATGTCAGAGGCAGGTAAAGTGAGGTGCGGCGGCAGTAACAGGCTCGGAGGCTCACACCATGTTTTCTGCTGGTGGGAGCGGAGATGGATGGGAAGTAAGGGCACGGGGCTAGAGGAGGGGACTGTGGGCAGAAGTAAGGGCCTCCCAGCTAAGTGAGGGAGAGGGCAGCCCCTGGGCAGTCCTTGTCCAGGGAGTGGAGTATCATTAACCTTCGAGGAGTCACGGAAGTTCTCAGAACCCGGTTTCCTCCTCTATTCAATGGGGCTAATAAGACTAAGACCAGCTGTCACATGCAACACCTACCACATGTCAAGGCACCAACTAGCTGTGATGTAGTTAATCCTCACAGCAACCCTAAGAAGTGCGTCCTATTATTATTTCCACTAGAGGCCCGAGGCATAGATTTGTGCACAGGTGGGGTCCCTCGGCCTGGCCTGCAAGGATCAGGCCAAAACCGGCTCTCCGACATCCCCCGGGGGGTCCCGGATGGCGAGAGGGCGGTTCTCGGGTGACACACCCTGGAATCGGGCTCCCTCCTCTCTGGTTCCGGGTGCGTTACCCCAGAACCGCAAATGCCAAGTCACTGTAGCTGAGCAGCTCCTGCGTTGAGCATCTGTCCCCTGGTGGTCAGTGTGCATCATAGCTACCGGTTGGACAGTCAAACGATCGGATGGTCGCTTAGACTTTTATATATATATATATATACACTAGAGGCCCAGTGCATGAAAATTCATGCACTGGAGGGGGCGTCCCTCAGCCCAGCCTGCCTCCTTTCACAGTCCGGGGGCCCTCAGGGGTAGGAGGCTACCCGGTGATCAGGGGAAGGTGATGCCCTATCACACCTCTGCTGCTGCCACTGCCGGCAGCTCAATCCTCAGCCAGCCCTGGTAACCTGAACCTCAGGCTGGCCCTGGGTGGCTGGGGGGCTGAGGAGACTGAGGGACTCCAAGGGCAGGTGCGTGGCAAAGGGGACTGGGCACCACCATCTTGTGGCTGTGGGCACCACCATCTTTGAGGGTGGGGCAACAATTAGCATATTCCCTCCTTATTGGCTGTGGGCGCCACCATCTTTGTGATGGTGTGAGGGTCAATTAGCATATTCCCCCTTTATTAGATAGGATTCTACAGAAGGGGAAACTTCGAGATGTGGGTAAATATTTCAGCTGTAACTTTCCCAAGGACCCTGAAAATGAGGGACGAGGGTGGGAGGTGGACCCAGGCATCACCACTCAGCCTCTCCGGAACCTTCTCGGAGAGCTGTCTTTAAGAATAAATGAAACAGCCCAGCCTGTGTGGCTTAGGAGGTCATGGCTTGATTCCCGGTCAGGAATAAATGAAATAGAGCAGGGAGGTGCCCAGCACAACGCTGGCACGGAGCTGCGACATCTCACCGAGGGTCGCCATCACAGGGAACAAGGGCCACTGCACAGCACTCACAAGAGCAGGTGCCCGAGATGTCCTGTGTGGGCCCGTCGCCTCTGGGGACAGCCAGGGGTAGAGGAATGGGGCCCCCACTCAGGGGAGAAAACACTGACCCAGGTTTTGGGAAATGCATCTCCCACGGACAGTTCTTGAACCCCAGGCCACCCCCACCCATGCTCTTTAACATCTGCACGACTGATCACTCATCCCCTGCTGCCCCCATCTACCGCCTGGAATGTTCTCCTTTCCACTTCCTTTAAGCACCTGCCCACCCAGAAGTGTTGTTTAAACTCAGGTGGCCCTCACAGGACATCACCCCACAGGCGTGCCCCTCCCGCCTTGCAGGTGCATCTCCTGGAGATGGGGGTAAAATGCAGGTTCTGGGTGGGTCTGAGATTTTGCTTTTCTAACAAGCTCCCAGGAGATGCTCGTGCCATGGGTCCAGGGACCCCCTGCTTGAGTGCCACACACTCAGCTGCAAAGTCTGAGGCCATGTCCTGGAGGTCAGTCTTCCTCCACTGGGCAGTTACTGGCAAGATGACTTTATATGGTGGGTTATTTCTTGTTAAAAGTCTGCAGGAAGAATCTGGTGCATTCTTGTCATCAATGCTTGGTTAGCAGACCCTGGGAGATGTCCTGGATGTGGCCTGGGAGACCTTTCTCCAACACAGGCCCTTGTGCCTTGGTCCCCTTTCATAGGTGACAGTGAGACAAGCCAGCAGCAGTTTTTCTACTCAAAGTGCATGTCCTGCCCCTTGGAGAACAGCTGACTGTGGGGCCGGGGCGCCTGCAGGAGGATGCACTTACCCCGATGGGTGGAAACAACTCCATTCGCATCTGGAGGGACCTACGAAGAGGTGTCTCCAGCGCCTGACACGCAGCGCACAGGGCTGTCTGTGCTGCTGCCTGGAGTGTGAGCTCATGTCTGCAATCCTGCAAGCAGATGTCCAGGTGACTCGTCAGGTGTCCCATGCCTACAACTGGGTGGCAAAGCTGCACTGACAGCTGGAACTCAGCATCGCGGCAACCGTTGCTAAGCGCCTACACGCACCAGGTTTATTACATGAATGTATCTCCTCAATCCGCAGCCCAAGGTGGAGCGACTCCCATATCCATCTTACGAATGAGGAAAATTGAGGCGCATGGGGGTGCGGTGGTGGTGGTGTGATTTCCACAAGGCCATACAGAGTAGAAGTGACTGTGCTGAGACTGGAACCTGGCTGTGTGGAGCCCCTAACCATTGTGCTGCTTCACCAGACCAGAGAGCTAGTCACCCAACTACCCAAACAGTCAATGAGCCAACATCCCAGGAGTATACACGTTCCCTGGTGCCTACTGCGTGCCAGGCTCTGGGAACAAGAAGACATTCAGACAGAATCCTGCCCTGGCTGCATGGCCTTTGACAGCTTACCACCCAGGCCTTGAGTTTCCTCATCTGTGAAATGGGACAATAATGCTGCCTCCTCATCAGATTAAGTGAATAAATACATGAAGCACTTAGAACAGCATCTGCCACCGAGTAAGAATTCAATAGATGTTACCTATTAATATTAGACTCATGCAACAGTGATATTTTAAATTAAATTATTTACATTTCATGTTGTTTCTAGTATAATGTTTCGAAACTGATTTTCAAACCAAGCAACGTTTTATGGAGCCTGCACCCAGGGCTGTGGGGAGCGTGGTGCCCTTGCCTTTCAGCCCCGCCCTCAGCCCGAGGAGCCTGCCTGGCAGAGAGCAGGGTGCCCACCCACTTGGCTGCCCAGCTGCATGGCTGGGACAACAGGGAAGTCTGCACGGGCCACCCAACAAACCTGTCTTCACAGCCTCCGTCCTTGAAATGCACATTTTGAACCCTGTGCTGGAGTTAAGAAGCATGGAGGTGCCGTCAGCATTGCTTTTCGCTTTTTCTTCTATTTCCTATGCCCGGCATCATGAGTGGGTGACAAAAGAGACCGCAGTAGTTAAAAGAGGAGATGGGAGGGAGGAGGTGCGAATTTAAAAAATCATCATTTGTGAGTCTATGAGGACAACTGTCTCAATTTCCTAGACCAACAACAGCAAGTACAGGACATTTCCTGCTCCGAGGGTCCACCTGCCCACCGCCTTCATTTCCTGCGGGCGGGCCTGGTGGCTCCCCCTTCCCGGCACTGAGTCGTCTGTACAAGAACTTCCGCTGCATTCATCGGGGCTGACCGATGCCGTCTTCCGGAACGTCTGTGAAGCTGGTAAAACGACCCGTATTTTTCTGGCTCTAGCTGCATATTAGGCTCCCCTTAGAAATAACACAGATGATAAAAAACGTAGTTCTCAGATCCCCAGACTTTCAAGCTACGAAGAATCACATCCATCGGTGGGTGTCCAGTCCCTGCTTGCTCTTGGCATTCTTGCCCAGGCAGCGAGGTGAGGTGCACACAGGTGACCGTAACTGCTGGCCTGGGCTTTCTGGGTACTGGGCGCTTTGCTGGGTCCCTACGTCCGTAACCCGCCCTGCCGACAGCTGCCCCTGTGTGTGCTCTACATACCCCTGTGTAAGTTGTTTTTACCAGTTTTATTCGTGGGAAGTGCCCGCCACCACTGCAGATCCTTGCAGCCCTCCAAAGAAAGGGGATTCCCTGGTTCCAGGGCCACATCCCAGTAACCCTGACCTTGGACTCTGGGTTGCGAGGGAGGCTGTGGCTGTTCTCAGGGTGTGACCTGGATGGACCCACCCACCAGCAAGTGCCCTTGGCTTCACCTCCACGTGATAGCGAATCAAATAGCTTCTTACCACCCCGGCTGCTGCTGCCCTGAGCTGGGTGCCGTCTTCCCTCTCTGGGACCATCTCTCTCTCTGGCCTCTCTGTGTCCATCTTACTCCCTTTCCATCCAGTTCCCACCCAAAAGCAAAACTTATAACCACGTGACGCCCTGCCTAGACCCCTCCACTCACTTCCTATTACTCTTTGCATAAACTCTGAACTCCTGATCTTGCATAAATCTATCTGCTGCCCACACCACGTCACCCCAGCTCCATCCCTTCCCACTTAAAAAAAAAGTTTTTTATTGATTTCAGAGAGAGGAAGGGAGAGGGAGAGAGAGAAAAACATCAATGATGAGAGAATCATTGATCAGCTGCCTTCTGCACGACCCCTATTGGGGATTGAGCCTACAACTGGGCATGTGCCCTGACCAGGAATTGAACTGTGACCTCCTGGGCCGATGCTCAACCACTGACCCACGCCGGCTGGGCCCTTCCCACTTGTGACTTACTTTACTAATCTCCCCTGGCCTTGTT